GCTGGTGGCGAGGCAGGTGCTGGCAGCGGCGGCGCAGGACGGCCGGCCGGCGGACGGGATAGAGTGGGCGTCGAGTTGGCAGGTTAGAACCCGAGGATTTATTTGGGGATTTTGTTGAACGGTCCCACATGTTAACTGCGAACCCACGTCCACGCGGTCCCACGTGTAAGCTCCGGACCCACTACCACTAACCCGGCGGACGGAATGGACTAAAATCTGGCCGTTTGGCCTCGTCATAGTAGCTGCGCATGGACTAGGGGCAAAACTGAGCACGATTCACAACTGAGGGCAAAACTGAGCACATGAACACCACTGAGGGCAAAAGAATAATTAACCATTAACTTCTTTAACCTTTCAAATATTGTTCATGGTAAGTTTGGTTCGTCTCTGCATGCGAACTGTGAGGAGTACATTCAGTTCGGTCAAGTAGTAGTTGTTTTATCTGTTACCCGTGTTGTTCGCTCGTGTTAGAGCCTCTCATAATGTGAGGAGGAGCATCCGAGCATGCTTCCATGTACGTAGTGTTTGTTTGTTGACACCATCTCTCCAACTTCGTTTAGTGAAAAATTGTAGCAGCTTTGTTCTCTCTTTTTCCGCTCAAGTTTCGGTTCAAGAGAATGCAGAGTAGTTTACCATTGACGTTGGATGGAGCCCATACCAAAACGACTGCTTCGTTCTCTCTTTTCCTTGGTGGCCGGCCGACAAGGCGTGGGTGATGAACAGGCGTGGCGCTCGTCCTGGTGAGCGTCTCCTCTGTTTTCTTCTTGAAGGCAGCTGGGGAGAGGCTTAACCCATACCAAAAAGGCATGCGGTGTAGTGCTCTGGTCACCACCTGTTCGTTGATTTGCTTGCAGCAGGTCATGTGAGAATTGAGTTCCCAGCTTAGTCCACCAACCAACCCGATGCCTCCGGCTCCCATCTGCCCAGAAATAAATTAGATAAGGCCTAGGTGGTCTTCGTCTCACCCCAACGCGGACAGAGACTGCCACCAGTTGCTCCATAGACGATGTCTAAATCAACTTTGGAGGATCATAATCCACCTTCTGCTGGAGATGCTAGCTACAAGGCAGGTATGTTGTTTTGTGCAGCTTAATGCTCTTTTCAGTCTCTTTTCTCTGTAATATGTTGTTTGTTTCGAGTCCAAAACTCCGGTCGGGAGTTTCAACGACATTGTAGAAAATGAATTTGGTGTAATATTAACCAGCAGCCGGCTGGAACCGTTTAATCCTGCTCCAGTCCAGAGTGTACAATGCATATGCAACAGAAATGAGTGGTGACTCCCATCGCAGTCTGGTCACAAGACCGTACGAACAAGACTTGATTGAACTTGGTCTAGGTATCATCAGTCTAAACAAACAATCGGTTATTTTCATAAATAGGACACTTTTGTTCCATAAGATGGGATCACCCTTTTTCCTTTTCGAGACCAAGTAAATAAACCATGATTCAGTAATGTCAAACAAGCAGAAGGCCCACTTCCATCTTTATAAACCTGGAACTGGCTCATCCTGCCAATGTTGATCTTTCGCTTTCTATATGCACAATTATTGCCATTAATGGTGCGTACTTTTCTGGCCGATGCTATTACCTAAAATCCCTTTCCAATTAAATCTGCTTTTGTTTTTCCTGAATTTGACCCGGTCTGATGTTATGATAATCAACAATTCTTGGAGAACAGCTTGTTCATATCTTTCTGATAGTAGATATCTTGAAGAGAAGAATGGTGATGATATTTTGTTGGTCACAAAGTATAACCAACAAAAATGTAGCGACCATATTTTACAAGGAAATTGTGTGTACTATAACTAATCCCTAAATAATCGAGTGAACATGACGGGGCCAATTACCTCCCCCTTTCCTCTGCCCAAAAATCAACAACCTGCAACTCAATTTGGCGAAAATTCCAAGGTTGCTTCTATTTGAAAGGAAAACTATCTTTAAAACATAATCTTCACATATGGAAAAAGAAGCCTGACAAACCAGAGGAAGGCAAAGATAACAAAAACTAAGCTAGCCAAGCTGAAAGCAACAGAAAAGATATAAGACAAAAGAAGCAAAAACATGGTGAGGTGAGCAACATGAGCGACTGAATTCCCCCTTGGCAGTTGGCATCTATGTCCTCAGCGGCGGTCTCCAGCAAAACAGGGAGCTTGTCGCTGGCCTTCTATTGGCCACCATGAATCCGTAAATACATCCTTTCTTAAGTTGCCTCGTTTGGAAAAATTCTACACATGTTTGTTCGTTGCATTGAGCTGTTGAGGAATGCTTTAGGCTTCGTCAGGGTTTTTAGCATCAAAATTTCAGAGTGCATTGAGGAAGGTTAAGTGCCACAGCATAGTTTGTTTCAACTGTCTGTTTTCTTTTCCTCCGAAGTTTCCTTTCGAGTGCATTCAGGAAGGTTAAGGCACCCGGTCTCGAGCTCCGGGGTGAAAGCCTAGGTGACTCAAATTGGTCATGCCTAGCAATGGCGATGTTTTTATGTCGTTACCTTGTTGAAGGCATTGCTCGGATATGCTCGGACTACTTCAGGGTGAAAACCTAGATTCTGACCTAGGTGGTTGGATCCGGCGACGGCGGCTATTGAGCGTCGCTCCATTCCTTAAGGCGTTGCTGTTGAAGAATCTCGTCGTTCGTTTGGTGTAATAACATGGTTGGTGCGGATATGGTCAGTGATGTAGTTTGCCGATTATGGATTTGATCGCTTCAGGGTTTTTTTTTCTCACCTACACATAGCTTTGGTCTTATATGACTTTGCTATTTGTTGGTGTGTTCTTGTGTGCATGTGTTGGTGTTGGTTGTGTGCATCCTAGCTATACAGAGGCCGGGTGTGCTCATTGTGTTTGTATCTTCTTGATGCTTCATTTTAAGCCAATAAAATTCACCCTTTGTCGAAAAAAGAGCAGAAGGTTAAGTGCCGAAAATCATAGCGTCGTTGTTCTCTTTTCCTCTGAAGTTTCAGTCCAGGCAAGAGGGAAGTTGGATGTTGTTGGATGGTGGATGGAGCAGTCCACCCCTACAATTCCCCATGGCCAGCCGACACGAGGGCCACCTGTCAGATGTAGTTCGAAGTCTGAAAAATCGAGAGAGTTTCAGATGGCAGGAATGTTTAAGCGTGCCAAAGTCCAGAGTGCACCGTCTACATCCAGCAGAGCTGACTGATGATGACTTTGACAGTACCCTATCGTTACAGGCAGGCTACTCTCATCAGTGGCCGGCAACTCTCATCAGCCTGGCCACACAATTGTATGGACCAGATCGACTTGATTGAGCGTGGGCCTCCTTGAAACCCTGAAGCACTGGGACTTTGACCATAGACTGTAGTATAGCTCTGGCATGTAGCTAAATACTAGTAACACTGAGCCTGTAGCATACAGATTTAGTGCATACGATTGCTCCCCCAGCTACCCAGCTACTGTGGTCATGCTCATTCATTGGCTGACACAATTGTGGAAACTGATACCTATGATGCATGCAGTGATGCTAATTCATTGTACGGTGAGATAAGTACCTCTCTGCTTTCCTTGAAGCATCTAGAGCACACGGATCTTAGCATGAACTGTTTGCTAGGGACAAGTAGCCATATTCCTTAGTTCTTGAGCTCCATGGAGAACTTGAGGTGTCTTAACCTCTGCGGCATGTCATTTACCGGTAGAGTTCCTTCTTAACTTGGTAATCTGTCTAAGTTGCAGCATCTTGACCTTGGTCAGGGTTATAGCGAGATGTACGAGGCAGACATCACCTGGTTAACAAAGCTACCATTGCTGCAGTATCTTAGCATGAATGGAATAAATCTCTCTAGGATAACTGACTGGCCTGGTACATTGAATATGATTCCATCTCTAAGGGTTATCAATCTTGCTGCATGCTCACTTGATACTACAAGTCAATCACTTCCCTACCTTAACCTCATGAAACTTGAGATGCTTGATCTGTCCGAGAATAATTTAGGCAACTCAATTGCATCAAGTTGGTTTTGGAAAGTGACGAGCCTCAAATACCTCAGTCTTCGTCTGAGTTTCCGTGCAAATTGGTTATCCGGTAAACTTCCCGATGCACTAGGAAACATGACGTCGCTCAAGGTCCTTGATGTGTCAGCAACCAATCTGAATAAGACCGGAAACATTGAAAACCTTTGCTCTTTGGAAATCCTCGACCTCTCTAAAAATCATATGATTGGAGAGATAGTGGTGTTGATGGAGGGATTGCCGAGATGTGCACGGGGGAAACTGCTGGAGCTGAATTTGCACCGGGGCCCTGCCAAATTTTATAGGGGAATTCAGCAGCTTGAGCATGCTTGACCTGTCTTGCAACAACCTTGTTGGACCTATACTGCCTAAGCTTAGGAATTTGGTGCATTTAACCATCCTTGATCTCGACTGGAATCTACTCAACGGTAATATTCCAACTGAAATTGGTGACCTTACAGCTCTGACTTATTTGTACATGAGCCGCAACAACTTAACTGGAATTATACCAGCCGAGCTTGGAAAATTGAAGTGTTTCTCTTACCTTAGTCTTGCAGAGAACAAAATTACTGGACCTATACCACCAGAGGTTATGCATTCAACTAGCTTAGCCTTACTAGACCTCTCCAGTAATCACCTCAATGGAAGTGTACCCACTGAATTAGGTTCTTTGGAGGATCTCGTTGAACTGGACCTAAGCAACAACGAGCTTAGTGGTTTAATCAAGGAAGAACACTTTGCAAATCTAAAAAGTTTGAAGTCCATAGACTTGTCTTTCAATAATTGAAGATTGTAGTGGATTCAGATTGGCGTTCTCCCTTTAGGCTACAGGCTGCAGATTTTGCATCATGCCAAATCGGTCCTCTCTTTCCAGCTTGGCTTCAGCAACTGCAGGGAAATGATTCACTTGACGTTTCGAGCACCGGTTTAGAGGACAAGTTTCCATATTGGCTTTGGTATAAATTTTCACAGGCAACATATCTCAACATATCCAACAATCAAATAAGTGGTCGCTTGCCGGCGCATTTGGATGGCATGGCTTTGGAAGAATTCTACCTAAGTTCAAACCGGCTGACCGGCTCAATACCTTCGTTGCTAACAAATATCACTCTGTTTGACATCTCCAACAATAACTTTTCAGGAGTAATACCATCAAATTTTGAAGCCTCCCGACTTCAGATGTTGCTTATCTATTCAAATCGACTTGGTGGGCACATTCGAGAATCTATTTGCAAATGCAACAGCTATTGTATATGGATTTGTCGAACACCTTATTTTTTATTTTATTTTTTTGGAAAAGGGGCGCAACCTCGGCCTCTGCATCAAAGAGATGCATATGGCCATATTTATTAAAAGCAAATAGGTTCAACAAAGGTCATGTAATCCGTTACAAACTAGCCACCAAACGGCTCACAAAGATCGGAAAATAAAAGCCACAGCCGGCATGCAAAATAAAGATAGGAAAACTAATTGCCTATCGTATTACATGACCGTCATCCAAACCGGCTGAATATAGCCCGAGCTACCATCTCCCATCGGGTAGATCCAGTAACCAAATGCTCCTTGGCCTCCGTCTGAGTGAGTAGCGATCACATACGGATCAACGTAGTAGCTCGGAAGATAACCTGCAAAAAATGAGTATTTGTTGCTCTGTTAAAAACTAAATCATTCCTGCAGTTCCAGACTGCCCAAATTAAAGCACATACTCCTACACGAATGTGACTTGCTGTTTGGGTCTTTATCCCATCCAGCCACGTCCCAAATAATGTATTGATATTATTAGGAGGAGTAATATTAAAAGCAATGTGAACAGTCCGCCAAAGAACCTTCGCCATGGGATAATCAAGAAAGAGGTGTTTGATGGTCTCGTCGTGATCACAAAAACTACATCTCATAGAACCAGTCCAATTGCACTTTGTCAAATTGTCCTTGGTTAAAATGACTTGTTTATGTACAAACCACATAAACACGTTAACTCTCAAAGGGACTTTGACATTCCAAACATGTTTGGAACTAGGAATAGAGCTAGAATTGATCACATCTAAGTACATAAATTTAACCGTGAACTCTCCATTCCTGGTTAATTTCCAGCTCAACGAATCCGGCCGTTGAGCAAGCTGCACATCCATCATTCTTCTCACCAAATGGAGCCATGCTTCCCAATGCGCTCCGGCAAGTGTTCTCCTAAATTAGATATTGAGGGGAGTGGACCGAAGCACGGTAGCAACCAGAGCGTCTCTCCGTTGCACGATGCTATAAAGAGAAGGATACTGAAGCGCGAGAGGTGTTTCCCCTAGCCACGTATACTCCCAGAATCTCGTGGAAGTACCGTTCCGATAATAAACTTTGTTCTGTTGAAAAAGACTGATTTAACTCTCATCAGCCCTTTCCAAAAAGGTGAGTCCGTCGGCCTCACTATCACCTGTGACAAAGTTTTGGATTGAAGGTAATTGTTACGCAGAATCTGCGCCCACGTGGCCTCCGACTCTACAGATAACTTGTACAGCCAGTTGCTGAGAAGACATCTGTTTTTCACCTCAAGATTTTCGATACCTAGACCCCCTTGGTCCTTTGGTCGGCAAATAATATCCCATTTAATGAGTCGATACTTCCTTTTTAAATCATCACTCTGCCAGAAGAATCGAGATCGATAGAAATCCAGTCTTTTCCTAACTCCAACTGGTATCTCAAAAAACGACAAAAGAAACATAGGCATGCTCGTGAGAACCGAATTAATCAGAATTAGCCGGGCCCCATACGACATCAGCTTGCCCTTCCAGGAGCTTAATTTCTTCTCGAATCGATCCTCGATACACTTCCATTCTCTATTTGTTAGCTTACGATGGTGAATTGGTAAACCCAAATACCTAAAAGGTAAATTCACAAGTTCACAACCGAACAATTGCTTATAGGCCTCTTGTTCTTCTTTGGCTCTTCCAAAGCAGAACAGTTCACTCTTGTGAAAGTTAATCTTTAACCCCGTCAATTGTTCAAATAAGCATAACAACAGCTTCATGTTTCGCGCTTTTGCCAAGTCATGCTCCATGAAAATTATAGTATCATCAGCGTATTGTATGATAGACACCCCTCCATCAACTAGATGAGGTACCAGGCTACCTACTTGACCAGCATCCTTTGCCCTACCTATTAGAATGGTCAACATGCCAACTACGATGTTGAACAGAATAGGTGACATCGGATCTCCTTGTCTCAGGCCTTTATGTGTCTGGAAATAGTGACCTATGTCATCATTCACTTTGATTCCAACACTCCCTTTTTGCATAAAGGATTCAACATGGTTTCTCCAAGTTGGGTCGAAACCTTCCATGCGCAAAGCCTGTTGCAGAAACGACCGAACAACTTGTTAGAGGGTGAAATTCCTCAATGCTTTGGCATCCAAAAAATGCAATTTCTTCTACTTGGCAACAACAGTTTATCAGGAAAGTTCCCAGCTGTAGGATCGGAAGTATGTTTAGAGGGGGGGTGATTAGACTACTTGACCAATTAAAAACTTATCCTTTTCCCAATTTTAGTCTTTGGCAGATTTTAGCTATCTTAGCACAAGTCAAGCAATCTTCACACAATTCAAACAAGCATGCAAAGAGTATATGAGCAGCGGAAAGTAAAGCATGCAACTTGCAAGAATGTAAAGGGAAGGGATTGGAGGATTCAAACGCAATTGGAGACACGGATGTTTTTGACGTGGTTCCGATAGGTGGTGCTATCGTACATCCACGTTGATGGAGACTTCAACCCACGAAGGGTAACGACTGCACGAGTCCACGGAGGGATCCACCCACGAAGGGTCCACAAAGAAGCAACCTTGTCTATCCCACCATGGCCATCGCCCACGAAGGACTTGCCTCACCAGCGGTAGATCTTCACGAAGTAGGCGATCTCCTTGCCCTTACAAACTCGTTGCTTCAACTCCACAATCTTGTCGGAGGCTCCCAAGTGACACCTAGCCAATCTAGGAGACACCACTCTCCAAGAAGTAACAAATGGTGTGTTGATGATGAACTCCTTGCTCTTATGCTTTAAATGATAGTCTCCCCAACACTCAACTCTCTCTCACAAGATTTGGATTTGGTGGAAATAAGATTTGAGTGGAAAGCAACTTGGGGAAGGCTAGAGATCAAGATTCATATGGTAGGAATGGAATATCTTGGCGTCAACACATGAGTAGGTGGTTCTCTCTCAAAAACGGTAAGTTGGAAGTGTAGGTTTGTTGTGATGGCTCTCTCCACGAATGAAGAGGAGGTGGAGGGGTATATATAGCCTCCACAGAAAATCTAACCGTTACACACAATTTACCAATCTCGGTGGGACCGAATCAACAAACTCGGTCAGACCGATTTAGTAAACCTAGTGACCGTTAGGATTTTCGGTGGGACCGACATGCAACTCGGTAGGACCGATATGGTTAGGGTTAGGGCAAAACGTAATCTCGGTGAGACCGATTACACAGACTCGGTGAGACCGATTTTGGTAATAAGCTAGCCAGAGAGTTGGTCAGGTAAACTCGGTGGGACCGGTTCGCTCATTTCGGTGAGACCGAAATGTTACGAAAAGGAAACAGAGAGTTTACATTGCAATCTCGGTGGGACCGATCGCTCATCGCGGTGAGACCGAAACGTTATGAAGGGAAACAGAGAGATTACAATCCCATATCGGTGAGACTGAGATCCCTATCAGTGACCGATTTGCCTAGGGTTTGTGGCAGTGGCTATGACATCTGAACTCGGTGGCGCCGGGTAGAAAGAATCGGTGGGGCCGAGTTTAACTTTCGGTTTGGGTCATATGTGGATATGAGAAAGTAGTTGAGGGTTTTTGGAGCATATCACTAAGCACTGTGGAGCAAGAAACTCATTAAACAACACCTCATCCCTCCTTGATAGTATTGGATTTTCCTATAGACTCAATGTGATCTTGGATCACTAAAATATAAAATGTAGAGTCTTGAGCTTTTGAGCTTGAGCCAATCCTTTTATCATTAGTATTTTGAGGGATCCACTCTCCTTATCCATGACATGCCATTCATTGAGCTTTTCCTGAAATGTTCATCTTGGAATGATGTTAGCTGAATGAGCTATATGTTGTTAGGAATTACCAAAACCACCTAGGGATAGTTGCACTTTCAATCTCCCCCTTTTTGGTAATTGATGACAACATATAGATCAAAGCTTTGACAAATAATAATAAGAGTGAAAAACATTATCGCTTTGAGAAGTATGTGATAAGCAAGAGCTCCCCCTAAATTTGTGCATAGTTTAAGATTTGCTTTGGACTGCAAATGCACAAAGAGTTAGGCTCATGGGTTACTCTTCCATGTCACATACATCTTGGTGGAGCGCTCAAAATAATAAAGATTGAATACATGCACTCATCACCAAGCAAAGTGAATGATCAAATAGAGATAGATGGGATGATGTCATCCAATAATCATAAATGTAGCATATGATCAAACACATGATCATCCAGGTATCACACAGACATAAAGTATCTCAAACAAGCAAATAAAGTTTAACCACCAAAGCAACAGAGAACAAAAGCAAACTCTCTCTCTCTCTCTCTCTCGAAGCCTATGATCTATACATTTTTCTCCCCCTTTGGCAAAAGTTACCAAAAAGTTCCTAGAAAATGCATAGTACTATGTCGCCTCTCAGGCTTGGTCTTGATGTGGTGGTGTAGATATGACGCCAAGGACGAAAGCTTCAGTTGATGTGGATGGAGCTGGAGGTGTAGGTGCTGGAGCTGGTTGCACTGGAGCTGTAGGAGCTGTAGCTGGTGCAGAGGAAGTGGCTCTGGTGTCTGTCACTGGCACTGCAGCTGTTCTCTGAGCTCTAGGCACTCTGGCAAATGCATCTGTGGTTGTCTTGCCCTTCCTCTCCTGCATATCATCCTGAAGCTGCTCAACAACACACTGGATCTGAGTTACCTTCACATCCAAGTCATAGAACTTCTGCTCCATGATCCTCTCTAGGCTCTCCTGGTTTTGAGTCAAGGTGGCCAGCCCTTTCTCAATCCTTAGAGTGGATGCAATCAATTAGCCTAGTTGATCTTGTTTGCTCTTTAAAAAGTATTGATATGCCTCTTCCATTGTTGGCATCTTGGTAGCCTTCTCTGTCCTTGCTTTCTCCTTCTTTGCTTGAGCATGCACAGAAGATGGTTCATGTTAATCCATAACCACTTGGTTGTCCTCAAAATCTGGAAAGATAGGCATGTGATCCTTGTCCAATAGGTATGTGTCTGTGCCCATCTTGGAGTTAATCAGCTCCTGGATTTGTGGGGCATACCCACAGCTTCTCTTCTGGTCAGCTGCTGTCCTCTTGATAGTCTCAACTATGAGGCTCATGACCTTGAACTTTTGAGGCACATCAAATATGTGTAGCAGATTGATAGCATGGCCTCTGATCATGTTGTGATCTCCTGACTTGGGCAAGAGTGTGTGCCTAAGGATCCAGTTGATGGTTGGCAGTCCTGACAGAAGGAAATGTACAGATCCAAACTTGTGAGTTTCAAGAGCTTTATCTGGGATCTCCTTGTACATGTGTGCCATAGAATTGTGATCCTTATTCTTCTTGGCATAGACATCCAAGTCATCTTCTTTCTCCTTTGGTGCATTTATCATATTTTCCCATTCCTCAAGACCGATACCTTGTACCTTCAGACATCCATACTATCCTGTCATCTAGATAGAAGTGTACTGTGGAGTAGAATTGCATTATGAGCTCATCATTCCAGTTTGTGAACTTCTGTCCAACAAAGTCTGCAACTCCACAAGCACTAAAACTGTCATACACACCAGGATATTCTTCCTGATTCTCCTTGATGTATTTCCAATCCACCCACCTCATGGCACAAACTATAGGCTTCTTGTCCAGCAGCACAGTCTCATAGAAATCCTGTTGTTCCTTAGTATGGAACCTGTAGTCAACAGCAGTCCTTCTCCTAATAGCATAAGGATCAGACAATCACCATTGTCTGAGTCATGCATCCTTCCTCAGCTTCATGTTCTCAACCACAGAATGAGCATCATTGTGGTCTGGAATCTTTGGCTTCAACTTTCTCAAGATTTGCTCTTCATCATCTTCTTCTTTAGCAACAGCTTCAGGCACTGGGGCCTTGTTCTTCTCAGCAGCTGGTATGTTTCTGGTATTCCTCTTAGGTGCAGTCTTGGGCTTGGAGGCAACTTTGGGTGCTTCTTTCGGCTTTGATGATGCAGCCCCTGACCTAATAGCATCACCCATAAGCTTTTGAGCCTTGGGTGCAGGTGCAGCAACCTCTTCTTCCTCTTCCTCTTCCATCATGGAAGGCTGTCCAACAACTCTGGCCATGATCTTCTTGACCCTTTCCTTCCTCTTCCTCCCTTCTGCACCAGCCTCTTTGGGATCAGTTGTCTCTGGTACTTGAGTAGAGGCTCCGACTTTAGACATGGGAGTTCTCTTTGCAGGCACTTTAGTCTTCATACCAGGCTTAGTGGTTGCAGTTGTGCCATATTCCTTTTGAGCACTTTCTTCTTGGAAGTGGCCTCATCCTCAACTGCCACATAGTCTTCATCCTCAGATTCTGAGGTTTTCTTCTTTCTGGCCCTGGTGGCATCTTTGGGCAAGTTGCTTGGGGTGCTCCTGCTGCCATCATCTGAGGTGCTAGAGGGACTAGTGCCCTCACTCATGTGAATCTGCTCCTCTGACTGGTTCTGGCTGTCACCTTGATTAGACATATTGAAAATACTGACTGCAGACCCTATGAATAGATATAGATGAGATAGAGTGGATGAGCATCACAAAATGCAGAGGTTTTTGCAAAAGAATGATTCAAAACCTTAGTTTTAGTTTTCCACAGAAAGCATTTCGGATCAACCAATTTGCAAACTCGGTGATACCTAAGCAGCTTTTGACACCTAAACTAGTGAACTTGGTCAGACCGAGTCACAGTTCGGTGGCACTGAGACTGCTAGGGTTTCATAAAGTCCTAAACTCGGTCACACCGATTTGCAATTCTCGGTCAGACTGAGAATCACTTGTGCAATGGCCTTAGCCGAATCGGTGGAACCGAGTTCTACAACTCGGTGGGTCCGAGATGGTTTCGGCGGAAACCTAACCCTAAATTACCAATTCACTTCTAATCTATGGATTGTTGGATAGAATCGTTTCAATCGTGGCAAGAATAATGATGAACACAATGTGCTAGGAATCGGACGGGGATAGCACTGTGATCGAGTCCATACCCTAGCTTGGCAATGAACTCGCTACGGCGGCAACGGCGGGGTTGAATTCCGTTGATGGCGCGGAGACCAGCGACTAGAGGCGGCTGGCGACGAGGAGGACGATCCGGAGACCCAGGTGGCAGAGCGAGCTATGCGCGGGCGAAGGGGTTTGGAGAAAGTTTCCAAATTTTTGCCCGTGAGTATATATAGCCCGACCCTGTATGTGTGACCGAGTGGAACAAC